GGACTATTAAATTGACTAATTTATATGCCTTAGTCTATATCTGAAAATCTCTTAATCTTCACATGTGCAGCTGTTGACTAATCAGTGTGAAAAACTCCTTCAGCATGTCAGAAAGAAATGCAGGTACTTGCACAGCAAACAGCCATTCTATACAAACCCATTTATAGTGTTTAGCGGGTTCTTTCCCCCATCTCCAGCCCACGAGGACAAAACAAAAGCCCTCCCTTGAGTACAAAGTCTGTAAAACTAGCAACCTGCAAAGAAAAAAAAACCTTGTTTAACATGGAGCAGGTTTTGAAGTTTAAGGAGTACAGTAACTTCCACCTGCTCTTCTTGTAACTTATAAACAATGTAAGCAGATGTTGAAAAATCCCTAGAGTTGGTTGATCTGAGCAAGCAAAACTGAACAACTTGCTCACTGCTGGATGAGCTGTTGGGCCTGTATTTTGCTGTCCTTGCTGCACTGACAAAGCAGCATACATCACCCCAGGCTGAAAATGGAAATTGGCATCCTGTTTTCTTGTAACCATGCTGCTCTCATCAGTATGGCATCAGACACGATAAACAAATGAGAGGACTTGCCGCCTGCCTTGACTGCTGCTTTGTTAAGTTCCCCTGTTCTGGCTCCCCTTAGACACTTATGTGCCACATGGCACATTGGGAAGAATGCATGTGGCTAATCATGTACATGCTCTTCCTGAAATACAGCACAGAGTGAAACTGCCATTCTGGGGCATTTACAACAAAACGGAGGTCAGAGACAAAACTTCACTTTCAGTCTCATTGCTTGGAGTCAAAACCAGAGTGCTTGGAGTTCTAAGGGATTGTCAGATCAGATCAACAAGCTTGTCTTTGAGGGACATACGCTTTTTTTGCTAGAAAAATAATTGGGTCAGAGTTGGCATTGGGGGAGTTTCCCTAGCCTACCCTCAAGTTTAGTTTTATTGTGTGAAAAACATTGACAAACCAACTTTCCTGTCATTTATTAATTACAAATTAAGAAAGATCTACAGTCCTACTGTCACAATTTCCTTTCAGTCCTTGGTGGTCTTGTAAAGTTGCAGTCAACACATTTTCATCCATATATTATGTCAATTTATAACAGGGTAAGAATCAATATTCATTTCCTAGAGTAGGAGCTGAATAGTTTAACCTTTTACCTTTTCTTCTGTTATTTTCACTATAAGGATGGTCACCCCCCTATTCCTGGAGACATAGCAAATACCAGCTCCATGCATGGAGTGAATTCAGCAAGCCCCTAGTCTCTTTCTCTGTTCCATAAATGAATTTAATATGGAGTTTCCAGCTATTAAGAAGGATGGTCTTGTGGTTAAAGCACTGGACTGGGATATCAGAGATCAGTTCCCAACTCTGCCACAGACTTCTCATGTGACCACAGCGGAGTCATTTCTCTCTCCAGCCATCAGTTCTCCATCTGTAAAATGGGTGGAATACTTCACCCCACAGGCATGTCCTGAGAATACATTAATGTTTGTGAGGAGCTTGGATATTACAGTGAGGAGACCATGTATGTACCTAGGTATCACCTTTAAAGACAGTACCAGCTTTCCAGGCCATCTGCCCTCTGCCTCATTTCTCCACTCATTAGATATGTTCTTTCAATAACCAGGCTGATATTTAGAATGTCATGCTAGGTCATGTACCACTGTGCACATCAAGAAAATCCATTTCCTTTTCACCTAGGATATGTCTACACTACGGGAACTATACTGGCATAGCAATGGTGGCATAGCTATGCTGGCATAACCCCACACTGTAGACCCAGCCTACACCAATAGAAGGGGTTTTTATTGTCAGTGTAGGAACACCACCTCCCAGAATGGCAGTAGTTAAGACCTACCAGCATCTATACTGGGTGTTAGGACAGCATAACAGCAGCAGGTAGGGGGGATAGATTTTTCACACCTCAAGTGATACAGGTGTACTGACTTAAATGTTAAGCCTAGACCAGGTCTCAACCTGTCAGCCACTCCCCTCTGAATGAACTACTAATAGAATCCATAAGCAAAGGGCAGATTTCCTGTTAGATTTCCTAATTTCTATTTTGTGTTTGGGGGGGGGGGGAAACGGGCGAGGGGATTTTATTTTGTAACACTCCTTCTATTTGTGTCTTGTATCCCCCTTATCTTCTTTCAAAACACTCAGGAATTAATACCCAAAGCTGATGAAGCCCACCCATCCTTGCTTCCAATTTCCTTCTTTGAGAGTCACACATCAAGAGGAGGCAAAGTAGGCTATTGCCTAAGAAGGAAAAGAGGTAACAGATCTCTACACATCATCCAGCTATGCGGAGCAGGTGAATGTTGAAAAACAGGACATTCTATACGTACAAAAAGTAAGGTCAGAGGCTCTAGCCAGCTTCTAGAGTGAAGCCCATCTGTATAGATAGATATTGAAATTAAAAAATCAACTGCATTCAAGCTATTAGAGATGCCATGTTACAGCTACCAGCTTAAAAAAATTTTTTTAAAATGAGTGATGTTCACATACAGCATCGAGCTGATGGAACCTAAATACCAACGTAATGGGCATATTAGAAATTCACAGATTAATTCCTGCTCCCATGCATAGAAATTCAAGTGGCTGCAAAGTCCAAAAGAAGCTTGTCCCCAGCATACTGGCATGGTCCAACCTGCCTTTGGAGCACTAAGCAGGGATTTCCCAATAGGGATAGATTAGGCATATGCCACATGATCTATTTTCTGGGGTGCAGGCATTAGTGGATTTTAGTCCTTCCACAGTCTTCAAGGTTTCACATTTCAAAGGAGGAATGAAAACCATCTGTGAGCAGGTGGTATAATTAGACCTCTAATTGTGCTATCTATGGTGAAATGCTTCAAGAAATCCCTGTTAAAATGACTAACATGGTCAAAGATCATACTCACTGGGCACCAGAGCTTTGGCATTTAATAGTCCCCCACTTAAAATGTTAAACATTAAACAGATTTACAAATTAACGTTTCCTCTTTTCAAAAAAAGAAATTAAAAGTAAACAAAGCCTTGGAAAGGCAGATAAAAATGAAACAAAAAAGCCATTTCTATCCTCCTGTTTGAGGAGGCACAACCAATCATATTTGTTCCCACCACTGAAACTTCCCTTCCCTTTTAAAAGTAATTTCTCTGTTCTCCAGTTGACATCCCTTCAGGACAAGTACATACAGAGGCAAGAGAATGAGCAAAGACAGCACTGTGTGCACATTAAATACAATGCTGTTGGCTGGAATGCTCCCACAATATTTTTCGGCTTCACAAATAACAAAATTACTACTATAACTATCCAGTATGATGTCCGGACACTCCTGCCAACAGCTTCACATTACGACACACCCACCTTGTGTAACACTGTTTTGTTTTGTATTGAATTGCCCAGGCTGTTAGCAGGTGGCCTGAGAGCCCAAACACCAGAACGTATGCTCCTCAGGAAATGGCAGTCAGGTGCATAGCAGAGTTGATATACTAGGTTACCAAGGAAGGTTCTATCCACACAACTCTCACAGTCTCCCCAACTGGCAAATTTCAGAGAGCGCTGCTGCCCATTGGTCTTGTAGAATATACTGCTGGGGGACAAATTGTAGACCTAGTATAAAAAAATGGAACTCCAGACTTAACCCAAGTTGCACCTATTTACACCAGGACTGAGGCTGTCTACACGACCAAGGGGTGCGATTCCCAGCTTGTGTAGACATATTTGCAGTGATAAGTGCAGCATGAATATAAATAGCAGTGTAGCCTTAGTAGTGTGGGAACTGGCAGGATGGCTAAGCCATCCTGAATACACACCCATGGTGTTCAGGCTGGTTTGTACCTGGTATGGTTAAACCATGCTACCATGGCTACACTACTATTTACTCTCATGCTAGCTCTCATCAAGTTAGCGTGAATGTGTGTATACAAGATGGGAATCACAACCTTATAGCTTGTATCATGGACATAAACTAGTCATTTGGACCACACTGAGGCTAAGTGCAACAAT